CATACCCACAGTGGAGGTTGCACTCGACAGAATTGATTTTCCCCATGAACTCCAGCCTACCCAACTTTTATCTGTCTCCTGAGCTGACCTCTGCTCCTAAAAAAGAAAAATACACACAAAAAATTTTAGTGATTTTATTTTGTATTTAAAAAAAAACTTAAAATTAGGTAATTATTAATCAGAGGAAATATACATCATTAAAATACTTCTACACAATATTTCATGCATTTGTAGATTTGTGGAAGAAAGCATTGTTAGTATCCAACCTCCACTTCCTCCTCTGTGTCCGGCCCCAGACTCACAGGCTGATCACAAATGACCTCCTGTTCTCCAGCTACACGCTCTGACTGCTCCGATACAGTTGCTGTGTCAGCCTTTGCACTATTGTCACTTGTAGTTTCCTCTGTGGACTGTGGATGCTCAAAGTTCTCCAGTGTTGAAGCAGCTTCAGTGGACACATCTGGGACCTCCTGAGTGGACATGGGCTCCTGATCAGGGGCCTCTGTGTCTGAGGAGGGGTCTTCTTCAAGGGAAGGAGTCTGGGACATGGTGATCTGTAGAAGGTACACTTTTGTAATCTAATATATCAACAACAATAAATACATTCCTATATCCAGAAAGGGTTATTTTATATTAAACTAGAAAAGCACTCAGAGAGCGCAGACCTCCGCCAAGGACTACCCACATTTTTTATATAAATTGCGATAAAATCAGTCTTCTGGATCAGATACGGATCAGCCTTTGGAATATGAAAGAGGATCCCATTGTCCATCCCTGAGTCAAATTTCATGGGGTTTGGTCAATAATTAACCGAGATATTGAGAAACTAAATTTTTGGCCCCATTTACCACAAAGTTAACTAAAATTTCAAAGGGATCCAGAATCCAGGATTTCTTCCGGATCACCCCCAAAATGAAATCAGTTCTTCCTTTTCACATTTCCAACAAATCCTGAAAATTTCATCAAAATCAGTCCATAACTTTTTGAGTTATGTTGCTAACAGACAAACAAACAAACAAACAAACAGACAAACGCCGGCAAAAACATAACCTCCTTGGCGGAGGTAATTATCAAACAAATCCATCCGTTTACAAAAATTAAGACTATTAATTATTGACCAACACTGCCACCTACCGTTCAGCTCCTGCAATTGCACCCAAAAGAACTGTCACGCTGTCATGCAACACTAAATATTTCCGTTCAGTTTATCTGCTGATTGTTTGTTGACTTAACGCATAAATGTGGTTAAAAAAACAAAACAAAAACAGTATTCTTAATAATTGGCTATATTCATAGATTGCATTCATCCATTATTTTGCTTCACGGCAAAAGGCGACTCAACGGGGTGAAAGTTGATCATGTTTATGAAAGCCTATTCTTTAAAAACTTGTCCATGCACGCCAGTTAATCGTGTAATGTATTATTAGGGAGTGTATTCCCATATTCCTGCTTCATGACATCACATAGGCTACTCATACAGCTGGTCAACAAAGCCCTGTTCAATCCCAACACTATCGCCTGTCACAGACAAGAATTGTTGTAGCTCTGTATTTATTAGACAGCTCTACAAAGTAATTAAACTGTGCCTTTGTGGCTTTCAACAACGAAAAGAGTACATCTGGAAAGCCAAATGAGCAGTAGTTATAAAGTGCAGCTCACCGTGTTCAGCAGCACCAGAGCAGCACAGACAGCGGAGAAGTTTTCTACTTTTCCACCCCGGTCAGTGTCCGCCACGTCGGCAGCGTCAGTGCGCGGCGGCGCGCGGAGCTCGGCCTCTGGGCTGCGCCAAAGAGCAAAGCGCGACAAGATGACTCAGAAATCTGTGACGAGGACCGACTCAGAGGGATAAAAGGGGAATTAACTATACATAAATCAAACTAATCATAGCATAGAGCATAGGATAAGGTACTGTTTTGGTTAAAAAATATATAGGCCATTGGAACTGACCCTTGTTTTAGTTTGCCAATGCATTGCTCGCTGCTTATCTCGTGTGTTGGACTAACTAAAGCTTAGATCTCAGCATTTTGTGTGGAATGTGTTACTAACCAAAAAGAAAATGACAACATTTACAACAAAAAAAAATATTTTGTACTTTATAGTTATTATTTAAGAGATATACATGGTCAATTTCTACGTCAGTGGCTCGTTGGTCTAGGGGTATGATTCTCGCTTAGGGTGCGAGAGGTCCCGGGTTCAAATCCCGGACGAGCCCATGTTTTTGCCATAATCCTGTGTTTAGTACAAGAATAAATAGTATAATTTCCCAAATTCACGATTCGTCACTGTTCTGGTTTTGGAGTCATGCACCATCTATCGATGATATATTTTAGCATTATAGATATTATATTCTATTCATATTTTTTATAGAATATATATAGATTTATATAGAAAACTTACTTTACTACAAAACCAGGAAGAGGGTTACTGTACACAGTTTTTTAAAATAATATTTTATTTTTATTTAAGTGGCATTAATATTTTTAAAATAAATGCAACATTGCAGATAGACCTGTACAGTATATGTTCACAGTTTTATATGTTCCCTTTGAATTTCCAACATAGATTAAAATACACAAGTAGAAATGTATATTTATTATTATATGAATATCAAAACCATGCTTAGTAAAAACCTTTAATTACCCTTTCAGTCTAATAATCAAATATAAAATATACTGTATATATTACAAACTTATATTTGCAGAGATACAAAACATACACAAGCAAAGGTAATTCAGGAAAGATACGGATCTTTTGTGCCAATACATTCTGCGTGCAGGCACCATGTTGCCTGGCAGATCCAGAATGATATCTCTCGGTACTTTTCATACAGACTGATATCACTTCCTTTTAAAGCATTGAAGAGGTGTGTATTCTGGATCCAAGGCAGCCAGGTCTGCACATGATAGTGTGAAGTGTCATGCAGGTGCCAAGAGGAGAATTACACTGAATATAACCAATGACACCTTGAATGGTTCTGATCAAAGTGACCAGCAGAGCATGATGAAAATTCACAGATATGCTTTTGGGAATGTTTGTGAATATAAAGTGCACATTGGAGTTGTGTACAAAGAAGCGTTAAATACAAATATTTTGATCTCCAGAAGCTGTGAAAACAGAGTGAAACACAATTCCATGTATCTGTTAGGCCAGGGGTCTCCTACCTGTAGCACAGGAGCCACCAGTAACCTTCCACCCCCTTCAAATTATTGAATAATACATTTCTGAATAATATACATTGTGCTGAATAACTAAAATGTCATTAATTAAATGTCTATGGTCATTGTAAAAGTATAATTTTGATGATTGCTCACTATAAATGGATAAAATGGTTTGTTTCACAGGTATCTAACTGTTCTCCATTTAAGGGTTGCCGTGGCTATTATATTTACTCAATTTCTTGCAACCGCTAAAATGATCTCTCTGGCATTTTCATTTTTGTAAAGGGAGCTCACTGGAGGAAAAAGGTTGAAGACCCCTGTGCTAGACCAAGTAAGAAAATTATTAGAACCATATGGCGACTGGCAACATTTAAATATAAAGCATTTGTTAATATTTTAAGAGGGCAGAAACCAAGACCACCTTTTTCTTGTTTCGAACTCGCCTCATCATACAAAGGTGACAAAACGGCTACCAAGGTGTTAAAAACAAACACAAACAAAGATATATAACTGTGGTGCATGATGATACATAACACATTTCATTGCTTCTACGTTCTACCCTTGATCCAACCAAGTGGTATCTTTACTCACAATAATAATGCCCCTGTGCATATGTTTTCAAATTTCACATTTGTGAAAAACAAAAAAGACAAAAACACTTCAAATCTACATTGATAAGACGCAGAATCCCCTGTTCTATCACCAAAGCATAAAAACAAGGCTACCTCTTTTGATAAGTGCATGTACTCTGTGATGTGACATGTGAGTGTGGCTACCTGTCTTCTAAAGTTACTTCATGACGTAGATTTAGAGGCAGATGAGGTGTGTGGAGGTCAACAACAAAGTTAGCAAAGCAAATGGCAACCTACATTCAGAAGAGCTTCCTGAAGTTTCACATTATGATAGCTAGCATACTGTATGTTCATGTGTCCATTATTACTGCATATATAACAGGATATGAAAGTGATGTGAAAGTGTTAAAAGCTTTGGCACACTGGTTTGTTTAGGAAAGTTTAAATTTGCAGTTTGGTTCTATGGCCACAAGGGCGCAGCACCTTCAAACCAGCTGAGACGCTGACACCCTGCAAAACTGACCTCTTCTCTGCTGAGCTGGTAGAAGATCTGAGGATTTAGGTATAATATATATATATATATATATATATATATATATATATATATATATATATATATATATATATATATATATATATATATATATATATATATATATATATATATATATATATATATATATATATATATATATATATATATATATATATATATATATATATATATATATATATATATATATATATATATATATATATATATGTATGAGGCGAAAGAGCTTCCACCCTGAGAAACACTTTCATGGCCCTGTGCATTCCCAAAGTTTACCCCATCCCAAAAAGCTGCAGTCCACCACTGAACAGTCTCACAATGACAGGTGCCGCTTCTTGTGCAAAGCTAAGTGATCGGAGCGGGAGAAACTGCGCTCACAGTCTGGACACTGGAAAGGTTTGACTCCTGTGTGTTTGCGGAAATGCCTCGTGAGCTCATCAGACCGGGCAAACTTCCACGTGCAGCCCTCCCACATGCACTTATATGGCTTTTCCCCTGTAAACAAAACATTTTGACTGAATTAGAAGTCTGAACATGAAGTTTGATTGATAAAATCGTCATCTTCATCCATCATCGTGACTGTACCTGTGTGGGTTCGGCGGTGAGCTTTGAGGTGGGAGCTTTTGGTGTAGACTTTATTACAGCCCGAGAAGTCACAGCGGTGAATCCGGCGCTTTTTGAGTGAGTCTGGCGAATCAGGAGGAAGAGGATGCTGTGTGCGTGAATGGACTATGACTGAAGGACTGTTCACCCTAAAACACACAGCAAAAAAACACAAAACATTAGCAACAGATATGAAGATATGAAGTAGCTTTCCATAAACATCTCTGATATATGAAAATGTGGATGTTTGATTTAGCTACAGATTCTCACTAATGTCATAAGAACTGCCAGTTTAAGTTGCAACTTTTCTGGTGGAGGGTTCATCAAATACTTTTCTTTGATTCTTTTGCTTTGTCTGAAATGTTTCACAGTACGGTATTAAACCTTTCTGTGTCCATGGAAACAAAACCAGACCAAGTTACAAGTCAGACCTGTGGAGAATGCCTGATTTTCTACTTTTTTTGAGCTATAAAACTACCTGTAATTGAATAAATGTAAGGTAGAAGTGTTTAATGTCATACTGTGGAACATTTCAGGCAGAGCAATGACATATCCATTGAAAGAAGCAGGTGATGGACGCCCTACCAAAAAGTTCCACAAGTGTATCTTTAAGAAAAAGAGTAGCGTATGTTTGTCTTGTTGTCTGTGTAGTTATTTGCTCTGTTTGTAATGGACAGCAGCCAAACCATGGAGTTTAACGTTTCCTGTATGGACATTGTTTGGAGCTTTGGCAATTAACCCGACTCTATAATATGCTCGGAAGGAACGGTGGAGACACGCACCAGCAAAGCAACTACAAAAGAGACTTAAAAAGAGCCAAAACAAACAAAAAAGGAATTGTCAGTCTACGCTATCATTACAGCTTGAGTGTCGGGGCGTGAGTAAGTGGCAGTTGAGAGCAGGTGTCAAGTGTTGAAATATGAATCCAACACAGATCAACTCTGCGTAAAGGAATGTGCAGAAAATCTCCAACTACACACTACTGCTCATGTCAGGCCCGTGATTTTACAGGCAGGGAGGACTCTGTTGGCCTATTTACTATTATACACAGTAGGGATGTGCAAAAGTACTGATATATTGATATAAGCTTTATTGATTCACAAGGGAAATCATTTGCACACAGTAGCTTGCACATGATAATATAATATAATAACAAAGAGAAAAAATATATATAAATTGTGATTTGGTGATCCAGTATTGTTATCATGGGCTGCTGTATCGATATATATATATTTTTTTTCATTTCTTTTAGCATTTTTTTGTGTGACCTTACTACAGTTTTGCTGCTTATTTACTGGAGGGAAACTTGTTTATGCAATACACTTGATATATTCACTGTTTTGATGATTAAAAACAATGTATTTCATATTAACTTTGAAATACACTACATAACTTTTTGGTTTGGGGTCCGTCATTTGCTTGTTCCTACGGATATGTCATTTCTCTGCCTAGAATGTTCCACAGTATGACTTTAAACAGCTCTACCTTACATAAATGAAATCACAGGTGGTTTTATAGTATGTAGATAATATCGTATCGGGAGCCATGTATGGAGTATCGTATCGAATCGTAAGTGACCCTGTAATTCCGAGGCATAACACACAGTACATGCAGTCCATTTACAGTGTGTTCATGTGTGAGTGTGTTTTCAGAAAGAAGTGATGACAACTCGGGACACACCCACTCCTACTGAAGGGCCCAATTATTTTAGAGTTGGCAGGCTGACAACAACTACAGTTTGTCATGGCAACTGAGATCAGTCTACACAATGCAGGCAGTGGCAACATTCTCTAACTATTGCAAGTTTAACATAACCTACAATTATTTCTTCTATAGGAAAGACTGCTTTAGCCGCAGGCCAGCAGCACAAAGGAGAAGAGGGGGAGAGACAGGAAGACATGAATAGAGGACTGAGAAGGGTAGGAGCCAGGTTAAAGAATGTTTTGACTTTACGACACATATTAGCTGATTTTTATCTGATGCTCAAACTATATCAAATTGCTTCTTCATTGTTTAAAAAGCCCATATTTTACAATTTTCTGACCTATATTATAATGTTTCGTCATTAAAAACATCCCTGGGGTTGGGTTTTGTTTCATTCACACATGTTTAACACACAAATCCTGCATTTTTCCTGAGTTCTTCTCTAAAACGGAAAACACTCTGTCCCAACTTGTGATGTTATATGGTAATACAGGAAGTGCTCTACTGTGTTTTTAAACTCCATACATCTTCACTAGAATCATTTGGATGATTTAAACCCTGGAATTGCAAATCTCTTCTGAACAAAAGGTAAAAGGTAGATGTGGAGCTTCAGAGATGGACAGACTAATAATGCAGGATTAGTCAAACGTGTTGTAACTCCAGGTACGTTTTTGAGGAGGTAACAACATTTTAACATGGCTTAAACCTCACAGGAGTCAATTTTGTGTAATATATAACCTTTAATTAAATTGATAACACTCCTAAAATAAAAGATGATGACAATTTGTTGTAGTTCCTCGAAACAGAATGAACATATGTCTTCCAATAACGGCGCTGGAGATAAGGAGCAGAGCCTTGAGACGGGTGACTGATGGACATGACAAGAAATCAAAGTAAAAGACGCCACAGAGGAATGAAGGAATCTGACACACCCCACGTGGACAACCCTTTCATGTTGTTCCTGTAGCTGTTACGTTTTTACTTCCACTTACAGTTACGGTTGCATTTTTTTGCTCATGATGAGGACATGTTATCAGGTTAAAATAACACTCGAAAGGAAACTTGTTTAAAAAGGTGAGTCAATGTTAAGCCTGTCACGATAATTAGTATAACAACTTGGCATTCAACATATGGAAACTGAAACTATATATTTGATCGTGTGTACATTTTCTTTGTCAAAACGGGGAAGATTTGGGGTATTTTTGTTGTAATGCAGTAAGATTTGAGCTATAGAGGTTTAAATAACTATCTTTTATCACCACAAATTGATAAACGGCACATACATATTGGATCTTGACTGTCGACTATTATACTTTATACTTGATTATTGTCAGTTGTTTTGTTGTTTCTTGCTTGTCCTTTTATTTAATCTCGTCTGACAGCCTGTGTGTTGTTGTTGTTTGTGTGTATGTTCTTTAACAAAGAAAATAATAATAATAATAATAAGATAATATTAGGATAAAGAAAGAATAACTAACTTTTATGGCTAATTATTGATTCTCTGTGCTATTTATTTGTAGCAGCTCAGGCCTTTCAATGAGAGTGTCTTTACTGGAATTATCCTGCATTATTGTCATTGTGTCAGTGGCATAAAGCAGTTTCAATATTATCACTTATCGCAGTATATCTCTGTAACAATATATCGTGCTTCAAATTTTGTTATCATGACAGGGTTAGTTAGTGTCTGTAACTCACTCGTACTCGTGTGGTATCCGGAGGGACGGTGGTTTCTTCTCATGTCCGCTGATGGGGTCATGGCTTATCTCTGGGCGAGGCTCCGTTTTGATTGGCTTATGCAACTCAGAGGCATCTCCCCGCAGCTCCAGGGGCTTCTTAAAATGGGCTGAAAATGCCATACATTTCAACTAGTCAGTGATAAAGTAAAGAAATGTTTTTATTAAAGGGTCCATATTATGCTAATTTCTGATCTACGTGTTAATGTTCTCTCATCACAAACATACTGGAGTTGTGTTTTGTTTCATTCACAATGTGTTTTTAAAGCCTATACACCTTCACTAGAATAATTTGGCTAATAATTTTGATATAATTAACTTGAAAACTATCACTACATGACATCACAAGGTGGAACAGAGCATTTTGAGCTTTGAAAATGCAGACAGACTAATAATAAAGGATCATTCAAACATGCGTGAATGAAATTAAACACAACTCCAGGTATGTTTTTGACAAGGTATCAACATTCTAACCTTGCTTAAAGCTCACAAGAGTCAATTTTGTGTAGTATAGGACCTTTAATCATGCAAATTGACTTTCTACTGCGTCATAAAGTTATTTATAGAGTTGTGTTAAATTTAACTCATGCATGTGAACGTGATCTTTTAATCTCTGCTATTCTCTTTTGTGAGATACAGGATCTGATGTTTCACTTGCCAACTGTAAACTATTAATACAATCAGAATAAATGCTAGAGTGAGTTCATGTCGAATTGTGTTGTATATTTTGATTTACCTGACCAGCCAGAACCACACGCTTTGACAAAATTTTTACAAAGAATGGATGTGGAGCTGTGTCCTGTCTCCCTGATTTCAGAGGTTGTGATTGACACGTGGACAAAGGACTAATAAACAGCGTGGATTTTTGCAGAATCAACAATCGAAGCACCAACTTATTATTCATGTCAGATAAAAGAAGTTAAATATTTAGTTCTGAATGTTACAAGAATTTTGGAGACGAGATGTTTTCGCATTTGAGAGACACGTGATCCAAATTAGCAGCTGTGGTTTGATCGTCTCAAGTTTGGACGGAGGTTTGTCGCTCTCTATTGTCTTCTGGATTTGATCATTGTGTAGTGCAATATTTTGATAATAACTACTGCATATACACTTACAGAAGTCTTATTTTTGTAACTTTGTATATGTATTTTAATCTGCTTGATTCAGCAGTGACCTCTATGGCCTCATAAAAAGAAGTAAGTCTAACTCTAAGTACAGGGAATATAATGGTAATATCACTTCTGAATTTTATATAAAGGGAACAATTAAATCAAATCAAATTGTTTATAAAGGAAACAGCCCTAGACGATAACACATTCCTTCCACAAAACTCCTACATTCGCACATCCTGTTTTTTCCATTTTTGTTTTCACAGCGCAAACATGACATACGACCTCACCTGTTTGGTCTCTGGTGCTACGATGGTGCTCTTCTTCTGCAGCGAGGGGCGGGCTGATCATTATGGGCTGGTGCAGGTGGAGCGGTGGGGGCAGAAGAACAGACAGGGGCAGCATGACCGGAGACACCATGACCCCAGGCTGGATGACCCCCTGACCGCCACTGAGGAGGGGGGCTACCATGGCGGGGTAGGAGAGTGTGGGCGTGTGGGGGGGCAGGTGAGGTGGCGAGGAGCGGAGAGGCGAGCAGCGAGGAGAGGGAGAGCTACGTGAGGATACCGGGGATGAGGAGCACGGTGGGGATAAGGAGGAGGCGGAGGAGGCCGTGGAGGAGCGTTTGGTGACGGACAGATCTACGGGCTCCATCTGGGCGGTGTTGGTGTTCTGGGTGCTGACTGGGGCGTTGGGTGAGGGGAAGGCAGGCAGAGGGGACGTGTACAGATGGGAGGAGGGCAGGATCACTCTGTATGTCTCTGAATATGGCGAGTAGAATGACTACAGGAGAGAGAGAGAGGGGGGAAGGAAGAAGAACATTAGAAATATCCGCTTAACAATTAAAAACAAGGAAGAACTGTCACAACAAACAAGTCTTTTGGAAATGACACAACTAGGCCTGTCATGATAATTACTATATAGACTTATCGTTCGATATATGAAAGCTAGAATAGTATATTTTTGGGATTAATATTTATTATGTGATCATGTGTACATTTTCTCTTTCACTACTGGGGAATTTATGGTTATTTTTTGACTATATAAGATGATAAATGACTTCTATGACTCATTACAGATGCAAACTAAGTACTAAAGTGTTTCATTCTGCTGTTTAGTTATTGCAACTCATAATTTTTTTTATTTTTTTTTTACAATATTCTACATTTAGAATAGTTTTTGTGGTTTAAATCTGCTCTTGAGTTTTTGTGTCAGAGGCACAAAAACAACATTCAAGATTTGTCATGTATATTTACTTCACCAATATATTGTACTTCAAAAACTGTTATTGTGACAGGAATAGACCCAACATACTTGTGAATATCAAACAAAACAAAACATCTTAGAGGTATTACTAAAGGCATTCTTCAGCCTTTTTAGTAATTGTTTTTACAGGAGATGTTTGTATAGACAAAGTAGTTCTAACTGCTCATTCTTGGTTGTGGTTTCTGTAAGTTTCTGTTAGTCAAATCAAACGCATCAGCCCTTGGAGTACAGTATATGAATGTGTGTGTACATTAGACGGCTGCCTGGTAGACTGTATCCATTGTATGCAAATGCAGCAGCAGCCTGTTTGTCCAGGAAGAGGCTGTATGTGGGAACCAGTCCGTCTAGACACGTAGTATCTGAAGTGGTGAGTAGTAGGTGTGTGTATGAGGGTCAGAGTAGTGTGTCTTCAAAAACATGTCCGGGCATGATTAGGACACACACATACTAAAGCTGCAGTTATACAAACACACGTGCCTTACCGTCTCCATGTCTGTTTTCAGAGGATAATCATACATCAGCATGGCTGCATAACCCAAGAACCTGCAAAACACATGGAAATGCCAGGTTAGTCACAGGATCTCAAACAACACAAAACAAAAGAGCAGAGCAACTGATTCAAATATTTATCAAAAAAAAAAAAAAAAAGAAGCTTATTACAGAGTAATAGAAATCAACTGATATGAATTTTTTCAACTCAGAGATAAGTTCTGCTAATATTTGTGGCCCGATATGTAGAGCCAGTTGTGATTGTTTTCCCCAAATTATGTCATTTAAATTTACTACAAACTCAACCACAGCCATTTTTATTTTAATTTTTTACCACAAACCTTTAAGAGAGCAGTGTAGTTTCACACTAAAGTGTTAAAATAAAGTGTTTTTTGTTTAGCTACTGGAGATTTAAACAGTAAAAATTCCAAATATTGCCCAACCTACATATATATGGGTCAATTTTGTAGAGAACAGTTTCAGGTGACGCATCACATTCATTAAATTACAGATTGAGTTGTAAAATATTCTTGTCAGGTTTTATGAACTCACTCCTCCCTCTCTAAGCCTGAAAACACCTGTTAATCTATCAATCATCTTTACCAACAATAACAGGACAGTTTGTCATCATGCCTGAAATTACAACAGAAGGAAGTAAACGTGTTATTTTAAAGGTGCACTATGTAACTTTTTTCTACAGATGTGTCACTGCTCTACGGGAAATGTTCCACAGCATGACTTTAAACAGATCTAACTTAGATTTTTTTCCATTACAGGTGGTTTTAGAGCTCAAAAATACAAAGAAAAACAAGCACTTTGACTAAAAGCGGGGTCTCCTCTCCACAGACATGACCTGTAACTTGGTCTGGTTTGGTCTCCATGAGGATAGAAAGATTTAATATCACACTGTGAAACATTCTAGACAAAGGAATAACATCATAACATAAGTTACACAAGGCACCTTTGAGTTTCATGGGGTTAAATAACAGCAAGTTTCAAAAAACTTGGTAACATGCAAAGCAGCCAGCTCCAAATATGTCAGAAATTTCAATTAGAAAGAGGCTTAAATCACACTGACACAGCCTTAGTAAAGAAAAGAAAAATGGTATAATTTTCAAAGCGGTTCCAGTTTCCTCGCTTGTGGCCAGGTGCAGCTGTGGTGTCCGTGTATTGTTTATGAGCATGATTGTGTGAGTGTTCACCAGACCAATGAGGCGAGATGAACTGTCAGAAGAATGTACCCCAAGGGAGAGAGAGAGAGAGAGCGTGCATGTGTGTGCAAGAGGCCTGATTAAAGTCCACGCTCCGCACTGAGCCTTTAATTATTAACAAATGAGCAAGAACACAGTTTGCTCCAGATGCGGGACCGGCCAATGGGGGAGCGGAAGAGGGGAGGTTTTGGTGGGTCAGGAAGGGTGTGAACCTGACTGCAGCCTCGCCCTTTCAACGCGCTTCACAGAAACAAAAAAAAAAGAAAGCCGTTGGGTGAGAATGGTGTGTGCGCAAGATTTTAAGGGAGTGTTTTTCTAATCTGGGCTTGTATTGTGCTCAGGTTCAGTCAGAGGTCAAACAGTTGTTCTATTGTACTATGCTTAGACACAGGTATGAGGCGTGCAAACACATTACAAAATGCAGATAGCAGGAAAAGGGGATGGTGTTTTTCCTATAGTTCCAGGAATATCTAAGAAGTATGTTTGAAAAGTCATTGTGGAAGTCCCTAAACCTTTTGTGAACCCTATGTTTATATTTAAACAAGAAAGTGCTGTTATTGAGAAGTGGGTCCTGACACTGCTCTGACTCACACCTCGCAAATGTCCAAACAAGGACACAATAGACAATGCAAGAAGTTAATATCAACCAGCAAAACACTATGACCACAACAAAACCAAAAGATAGAACATGTACTACTGATCATATTTGGCTATCTGCTCTGATCTCATTATTTTTTGGCTGTTAGCAGTAATTCCGTATGGAGAATCGCAATATATCTCATACTATACTATATATATATATATATATATATATATATATATATATATATACTATACTATTCATATTGATCAATATTAATCTTCTGGACATAAAAAAATACACGTTTTTCATTTTTTTTCTGATATTTTTTCTCCTCCATAGTCTGAACTCTATAAACCACATGATATAACTGACATTTGGAATAAAAAGTTGTAAATATATCATTGGCAAATCAAAATGATCTATATTAAAATGTTATTAATTTCAGATAATTGATAAGCTTCACCCCCTGCTGCATATAGCTACACAGTCATGGTCATCAAAACTGTAACACATGAAACAAAGGAAGAAATTTGTTCAATTATGAAGTAAGATCAGTACATTTATATTATCCTTGTGGGTTTTGTTGAGCTTTTACTAATGTTTGTAGAATATAACATCTCATTACAAGGCTATCACTTTTGGTAATGGTATTCTTGGTGGCATTATTAGTCACAAACTCAAAGTACTCTTGTAATGTATGTACTGAACATACCAATCCCCTTATAGATTAAAGGAGTAGCGGCAAACTGGATTGACATACTCTTTGTTTGTGCATGAGTGGAGCTGTGAGTCTAAAATGATCAAGATAAAGATATGGCTCCTTATTGCTCATGTTTATAGAGGTACAGGAAATGGAGCTCACATAAGAGACCATCCTTGTGGTCCAGAATTCAAACCGTTTTTCTTTGAGGCAGAAGTGCTAACCACTCTCCAATGTCCTAGCCGCAGCGCTAAAGACTCATTCTGAAACCTCACATATTTACTGCGGAGTCCATCACAGGACTAAGAAAATGCATGCTTAGGTCGTTTTCACACCGCTAGTTCGATTATTTGGTTCGCACCAGGCAATAAAATTGTTATTATGTAGCAAATACACTCCAGTGTGGTCCGCGTTCACACCGGCAAACGAACCAAAACTGGTTCGATTCACGTGTCTCTGTTTCCCCGGTAAAACAGCGATACTCCAGTTATCAACACCGATGTTCCTGTTAATACCACCGGCCGTCCTCATCTCAAATTATCACCATGAACTCATAGAGTACTTTTAGGTCAAATTCAGGTTTGTATTCTAAAAGTTTGGAAGCCACAAAAATAATAAATAAAGCATCATTTACAGACAGTGATAAAAGTTTAATTTACTATTGCTATCTTGTGGCATTTACAGAGGCATCTTTGCATGTCACATTTCAACTATTTAAGCCAGGAAAAACTCTTTAAAAAGGAAAACTCTAACACACAAAGCACTGATATACTGGTCGCCTACAGATAACTCCAGATTATATACACCATAATGACATTTTCTAAAGAGAATTACTGTTTCTTTAATTGTGGTCATACTACTTCTGAAAAAGACAATTTTATAGACAATTTATAGTGTCAATACCAGCTCAAATTAATGTCAACTAGTTTTAGTATCAACTAGTATCTGGGTTTACATTTTTTGACAAATCTTGCATATTTATATAAGTTACTAGCCTGATTCATCAGCCGGTTTCACCTGGTAGAAACCGTCTGACCTCGCCGCATTAGGATTCGTTTGCCTGACGGTATGAGGGTACTTTTTTTTATTTAACCAGTCGCTGCTATTTGGTCGTGATGTATGGAATGCGCCGCTAACAGGAGTAACTGGTATATTAAGCTTTTCCCAAATCCCGTAGGAAGAAGGGCAATAATGTCTTTCCCCTTGATAAAATTCACCAAACATTCTCTTTGTTCCAGCTTTAAATCCTTGATCTTTCGAATCGTTGCAAACACAGAATATATGGCTCTGCGCTGACTGGCTGGTGCCCGGACTCGCACTTCCACTTCTTGCAAACCATTTAGTGTTTTTCGATTCCTGACTTAGTCACTGGAGAGAAATGACATTGAGCGGAGGCACTAGGTGGCTACTGCAATTACACAGAAAACAAAACTATATCTCTCCTTAGTCATTGCTTTCTCCTTGATATTACAATAACAATGAACAGGTATGGGACAATGAACAATAATATTGTTTATCATGATAAAAAGGGAAAACAATAATCGTTTGTGAACGTTTTATATAATTGTGAGAATTGCCAAGAGAGATAATATTATATTATTACCAGAAAGTGCAGAAAAAGCTACTTATCTCTGATGTTTTCTTTTAGGTCATTGTTGTTTTCAGTTATAACAAAGTACAATCCTATAACAAATGTTTAAATATGGAACTGATTCATGATATAAAAATTATAATTATTCATATCCATAATATTTTTAAACAATCAGCAACTTTAACAATGATTGTGATATTATCGTTAATCGTAATTTTTTTGGTAATTTTGATAATCGTGACCCAAATTTCAAGTCGTCTCACGCCTAGGCTTTGCGTTACTTTATTTACACACCAACAAACCCCGCTTGTGTAGCTTATCAGATCCAGAGCTCACTGTTCCCTTTGGTCAATAAGTAGCCTACCTGAGTGGCTGAAGAGTAGTCTGTCCTCTGGCCCTGTCCATGTGGGTGTGTGTATTTATGCATGTCAAGTGTGGTCTGCAAATATTGTCCTTTTAGGTCAGAGGAGCTACTGTGTGCTCAACCCCAACCCACTCCACAAACACAGCTCTCCTCTTCGTCGAAATCATCTCCATCTCCCCCTCTTTCTCTCAGCTGTGGCTATCACTCATTCTCATGCTTCCTTGCAACACCCAGCTTGTGTAGAATACATCATATAAAACACGAGTGAACTGGGAAAATATTGTGGCTTGGAGTTAGTTCTGGCTACTGGCTAACCACACGCACATGCAAAAGTTTCTGCTAGCTCAACAGAATACATGCACTAAATCATAGAAGGAAGAAGTTCATACAGATGCACACACACACACACACTCACTCACACACACAGGGGGCTGGAGATGATGAGATCACCAGAGAGAGAACCTAAACCTCCAGACAACAGCTTTGTCCAAGAACAAGATGGAACGCACACACTCTTTAAGGTTTTCAAATCTACCCCCGGTCCTGTTGCCATGATGCCGGACATGTTCGATCGCCTGTGGACCTCATATTGTTTTAAAATTAAAGCACTTTAGAAAGGAAAGCAGTGATTTGGCCATTACTGCATTGCAAAAACTCAAATCTAGCCAAGTTAAGATTACCTGAGTAAATGATTAGAGTAGATTTCACTTGACAAGTAAAATGTTCTACCACTGGAGCAAGATTTTTGTACTTAAATTATGAAAATACATCTTGCTACAACAACTCTTTGCACTTAAAATGAGAAACAAAATGTAATGTTGCTCGAATTAAGAAAAAACACGCACAGATAATTTTACTTGTCAGGTTGAATCTTCTCAAATAAAGTAAAATGTGCTCGATTTACGTCATTTTAAGTTATCTAGATATAGCATTTCGCAATGTGGAAACTGTAATTACGCGACTAATAGAGCTAATAACCCAAATTAGCTCGTAACTACCCTTTTAGACCCGAATGAATACTTCCACAACTCTTAGCTCATTTCCTTTCCTTAAAAATGTGTCCTCTGCTCTGACATAAACTCTAACTTTCTCTTCACTTTCACTTATAAACCCCTCTTAAGCCCCCTCTGAATTCCCCAAAGTGCCTAAGCTACACAGAGCAAAAGCACACTCCTCCCCAATACACATGAATACAGTACATAGCATGTGACCTCACTTGGGGGGGCATCCGGGGGGGAGAGGAAGCAGGACCTATCATCACACTTAAACACGGGTACAATCTTGTCTAGGGGTTGACACAGGGCTCTGAAAAGTGACAAGCACACACATTGGCTTAGGAAGAGACTGGAGAGCTTTGAGATTTTCCAGACTGCGTTTTGGAGAACAAGAGAAGAGGGGAGAGGGGAGAGAGAGAGAGAGCAGCGGAAGCTCTTGGAGTTGGAGTCTGACTGTTATTATTTCCACACTGTGTGATGGGTCGGGGGGTGTAAAGAAGGGGAAGGAGAAAGAGGAGGAGGAGGAGGGCTGAAGAGTGGAGCCAAACGAGGGGTGCTGCTGCAGGGGGCCTGTGGTTTCCTGTCCGACCCCAATACCCCCCACCCCTTCTTACTCTCTCTCTCTTTCTCCTTTTCTACCATTCTCTCTCTATACACTACACCTCCCCGTGCCAAAGAATGAGAGGCAAAGAAAACAACCCCTCTCTGACCAAACTATGTCAAAATGGAAGTGGAAAGAACAAGACAGACACAGAAACGGGGAAGAAAAGCCGAGTGGGTTTTGACCAAAATATGAGAAAACTTCAATGAACCTCAAAGTAGGGGAGGGGGCTACGGAGCAGTGGGGAGTAGTCGCATGCAGAGGTTCAATCCTGTGGTATCAATTCAAATGTAAAAAAGCCCATAGACATCCACTGTGTCCCATATAGAGGGCTCACCAAACTTCCCAGCAGCATCCAAAAGATTAATGTTTAGCCCTAATGTTCCTGTAGACATGCCCTTTGAGCTGTGTGTGAATGAGTATACACGCCGTGCATTTTGTTCTAGCAGATAACATCATCGTGTTGATTCAAGCAGAGAGGCGTAAGAGCTGGAGAAGGTGTGTAGTGTGTCTTTTTATGGGAGATCTAAACACATTCACAAGAGCTAAGATCATTCACAGTACCGTTGTTTTTTATTACAGTAAAAGTACAAAAAAAAAAAAAAAAAAAAACTCCATTCCTGGCATCCACCCCCCACGTCCACACATCTCCTCCTCTCTCTCTCTCACTGTTTCTCTCTCCTCCTCCCTCTGTACTGGTCCCGTTCGCTCTCTCCCCGCCGCTGCTGCTGCAACTTCTAAACAGGATAAGGGCTTCATATGCCAAGTGGAATGTGTGACGCAAGCCTCAGCCTTGAAACAAAGCACAGGAAACAGGAGAGAGACAGGAGAGGAGAAGAGAAAGAAAAGACGTGTGGATGGTAGAGGATGTAGGGAGAGAGAGAGATACAGAGAATGAGAGAGAGATCAGGTGTGACGATCTGAACGCCTGGCTAATATCAGACCAACACAGCTGTCACACAGACAAACCTCAACTGTCTCGCCATCACAATAGACGAGATAGAGGAGAATGAGACTTTAAATCAAAGTCACAAGTTCAACAATTGACCGCTTTTTCCCCATTATTGATCCAGACACACAGAAGTGATTAAAGTGTAAAAAATAGAAGCCTGACAAATAATAAAAAACTCACTTGAAATAAGCAACTGTTGTCAAATGTTGTCATAAGGAGCTACACAAATATTCTAGACTTATATATTACCTATAATAAAAGGGCTATAGGAAAATACAGTCTATAACTATCATAAAAAGGTATAATAATACACAGGCTATAATTTACTCCATAAAGAATCATGTCAAAGAGCATTAAAATCAAAGAATAAAAGTTGTGTCTTCCACTTTTTACAGTCTATCCCTACATGCCCTGTAAAAGGCTGTACACGCTATAAACAGCCATGTGTTTCCTTATATAGCTCACTATAGGATTACATCAGTTCAATATCAGTCCCCTCAGATTTTAACAAACCCCGCCAATTTGTAAAACGAGCGTCCCAAGTATAGACACAGATGCCACGCACTTGAAGACAATAAATCCACGTTTAAGTCATTAGGTCCGCAATTAATTAAAAGCATCATTAACTTATTAGGAACAGACCCAGCTTGTCATTTATAGACTCTCTCCTCAGTAGACTTTGCCAACCAACACAAACACATCTGTAAACGCACTTTGCAATTTGCGCTATTGATGACTCTAAAAGTAAACGTATTTTCACAGAGACTCACTTTTCAGGTGGTATATCAATTTTGAGGATGATCTCCTTATGAGCTTAAAAAAAAAAAAAGTTTAAGTTGAAATACAAACTCCGGTGAGAAAGAGGCTGCTCCACATGTGGGTAACGAAAACAAGCCGGTCCGCTGATCGATGGAAAAGTTCCCCAAGTTTCGAAACGGGCTCTCAGTCCGCGCGCGCGTGTGTCTGTCGGTGTGTGCGCCTCCGGACTCGGTTGTAAAGACTTCTGCTGGTGGTGCTTGCGCTGTCACATGATCCGCTCCTCCACAGGGTCTGGCCGGGCGTCTTCATGGGCGGGACCGGGGCGGGACCGGGGCGGGGTACTGCCGCCGCGTGCGCGTAAATGTGCGTGCGAAAGTGTGTGTGCGCGCGAGAGGATGTCGTCATTTTCAAGACAAGGAAACAGCTACTGGAAAATAAGGTATTAGGGCAATAGTCCAAGTTTATTAGCGGCCTACCCAAGAGCTTCCTTATACAGGAATTGTGAAAAATGAATAGGCTTAGTTCTAAATACAAAGTTTGATTGGGTAATTAATTTAACTTTCTCTTAATCTTTTTATCTTCAGGCTGACTGTGGGTGTGATTTGTAGGATATGTTGTTTTCCATTGTGTCAATGGGCTCTGATGCTCAGATGAGTTTTATTGATCCACATGGGAAAGACTGAGGTTAGGCAAACTATTGTGTAACATTTTTTGTTTCCTTGATTAAACCAAGATCTGAATACAGCCTCTGTGAGAAGAGTCTTGTTTATAGTTTGAGGAAAAACACCACACACTATGCCAATCATCTAAACAGTACATAAAATATATAATGTAAAAATGTCACTCAAAGAATTTGATGTTTACAGTCAAAAATGCAATAAAATGCCGCCTCAGCAGCTCCACTTTCAGCATATATTGTACCAACATTACACATTATTGCTACCTAATTATGTTGTAAGTGAGGGAATAGTACCTATTTACTCAAAGCTGTTCTGCACCTTGCATTAGCTGAAGATGACTGTTGGAATGGAGCCACGCCATAAAATTACGTCATCTTCGAGTGCAACTTTATTGATCTACTGTTAAGTGTACAATAGATTTCCAGATGCCAGAGGAAGCTGTATTTGCATTATTATGTGTGTAAAAATATCCCCAAATCACATTTCTTGTGTTTTACAGTGTATGAGGCAGTGCAAGTGCCTGAGAGGGTGTTTGTTGAATTATGGTGCTGAAATGACAGCTGTTATTTTATGCATGGTTTCTAGTAGTTTGGGTTTTGGCCTTTCAAGTATAACTGATATCCATTTGGGCTTAACTCTCTTTCAGGAGAAATGGAGCATGAATGTGCACATCTCTGAACTTAAACAGACACGTTCAGGGCTCTTCATGTAAGACGTTGTGATTTCTGTTGGTGCTGTGTTGATTTAGTCAGAAGCATTACACACACTGTAAGGCTAACTGACAGGACAGAGACTTCCTCTGTTTTGACATATGTGTTTCAACTTTAGACAGCTTACTGTAAATATTACGTAAATCTCAACAATGTACATTTTTCATATTAGTTACATTAATGTTAAACATGTCATTCTTCACGGATTTTGCTTTTTTTCATAAGAGAGAGGGCAGGGAATTCTTCAAGGTTCTCGTAAATTAGTCGAATACAGTTCAAGGAAAATGCAACGAACAAACCAAACAAACATGAAAACCTCTCATGTGCACTTAAAGCAACTTTGTTCACGCAAGCAAAACAGAATTATATCACTAGTCAAAACATTAATGGCTTTTCTTCACTAAAGCGTTATCGTTACACTGGAAAAATGCACACGTCAAATCTTGAGATCTTCCAGAGAACAGACTTTAAGTGAAACATGTCATCATCAACCAAAACAGCAGAGCGGAGTGAGACTGAGGCCTTTCCTGTTGTGTTCATCTGGTTCTCTCTGGACTCTGCTGTGATGCTGCAGGACTCAGAGGAGGGACACTTTTGTCTCTTCCACAGGATCTGCTGACCCTACCTTTGACTGAGGCACAAAGGCAACAGAGAAGCACACAAACTTGAATTTCCCTCATGATTAGTAAAGCATCTATCTCTTTTGATCTCTCAATTCTTCGGAAATGCTATAATGAGCGTACACTAGAACTCATCAGACATTCCATTTCTTTCTCGAAAGTCAAAGATTTTCCGTGTACAGTACCTGGGAAAAGTACCTACAAGGGAAATGTGAAAAAACAAACAACAGCATTCAGACAGCTCCTCAGCAAGTTTTAAACAGCGTGTTGCTGTAAATATTACCTGTAAATATGACCTAAATCTAAACAGTGCAAATTTTTCATATTAATTACATTAATGTTAAACATGTCATTCTTCACCAATTTTGCTTTTTTTTTCTTAAAAGAGAAGGCAGGGAATTATTCAAGATTCTCATAAACTAGTCGAGTACAGCTCAAGGAAAATGCAATGATCAAGGCTAAGGTTAAGGTTAGGTACACGCAGGCCCGTTGACAGAATTTTGGGGGTCAGGACAAGAAGGTGTTATTGAAAATAATATAGAAAAAGTTTTTAAATTATGGGCCCTTAAGACCCTGAAGCCTGGGACAACACACCCCTTTGCCCCCTTTGTTAACTGTCCTGGAGACACCGTTGTGACCCTGTAGGGATATTTGTCTTTTATATTTGATCCATTCTTCTATGAGATTATATCAACCTGTACGAAGCAGAGAGAACCCACCTTCAAATCTGGAGCTAGGCTTGGTGGGGAATACATTTTCAGTAATAATCAGTTATAAATGCTATGATGTTAAAGAGGAAACTCTGGCTAGTTAAAGATCCTGCACAAGGCGGGGACTTTTGCATATTTATGTACCTACATCAGGTAAACTGATAGTGGTACAGATGTTTTCCTTCAAAAAACATCTGGACCAATCAGAAAACATGAGTGCTAAATGATGTCGTAATTTCAATACATCTTTAATAACAGCATCACATTGTATTAGCAGCAGGCTCAGTCACATGTCCTGAAGAATAAAGTAAAGATGAGGTTTCTTTAGCATCTGTAGAAATGTAATACGCTATTGTGAGTCACTCAGAGATCCCTTTTGTGGACTGTGTAGAGAAATCAAAACAGCCATCTGGATACACGGATACTATGACCCAGGGAGACTGAACCAACAGACTATAAGCTATGAACAACACTGAACAGCTAATATTTTGAGTCTGTTTAAAGGTGCATTGTGTGACTTTTCTGGTGTTTTTTTCTCCATGGAGATGTTATTCCTTTGTCTGGCATGTTTCACAGTATGGCATTAAATCTTTCTATCTTCATGGAGACCAAACCAGATCCAATTACAGATCAGAGGAGAGGCAACCCACTCACAGTCAGATTGCTTGTATTTTGGGGCTATAAAACTACCTATAATTTAATGAATGTAAGGCTGTTTAATGTCATACTGTGGAACATTCTAAGCAAAGTAATGACATATCCATAGAAACAAGCAGGTACCAGAACCTCCACCAGAAAAGTAACACAGTGCACCTTTAAATATATGATGTCACCTTTTTTCATTGCATGATTTTACGTAAAATATATACAATAATTTTACATTAAATGTCATGTTTCTAGCCACGTTTTGTCTAAGCAGCTTCTAAGAGTTCCAGCTGTATTATATTAATTGGCAGTGTCCAGTGTCTTCCAGTGAACACAAGTTCATTAAAAGAATAGGTGTGGCGTTGGTACAAGTCTTTAGCTTCAGGTGAAGGCGGCTGCATTCTCACACACTCAGTAAATATTTTACAGTTGGTTTATTTCACTGGAACACACTGCTGAGTGATGATTAGCACATTTAGTTTTTTATGGACATGATGGCTTGGTTTGGACTGTAATTACACATATAATGATTGATTTGTAGGCCTGTCATTATAACAAAAGTAAATGTAAATGTAGGCAAGGAAAAAGTACACAAGATAAATATTACACCCCAAAATGATTGTTCCAGTTTTCATATAATGAACCATAAGTCGATATTGTGACTTACTGATTTAAAAAAAACTTGTCCATTTTACTGAAATTTTGATTAAAGAATGCTATATTATTATATGGATTTGATAATTTTTCAGTGTAGTACAAATTTTCTTTACCTGTTGGGGCATTTAACATAGGTATTGTCCCACGAAACAAATACATAATTTGAGGGGAAACCAAACAAACTTGAAAACCTCTTATGTGCACTTTAAGCAACTCCATTCACATTCTGACTCTTTCACTACAGGTATGCAAGCCAAACAGAATTATATCACTAATCAAAACATGAATGGGTTTTCTTCACGAAAGCATTATTGTTACACTGGAAAAATGTACATGTCCAATCTTGAGACCTTCCAGAGGACAGACTTTGAGTGAACAATTTCATCGCCAAGGACTCAGAGAAGGGACACTTTTGTCTCTTCCACAGGATCTGCTAACCCTACCTGACCAGTCCTGTTAAAATTAACTGAGACCTTTGACTGAGACACAAAGACAACAGAGAAACAGTAAATCTCTCTATCTCTCTCTTTCTCTCTCGATTCTTTGGAAATACAATAATCAAAGTCCATTGAAACTTATCATATATTCCATTTCTCTCTCAAAGTCAAAGTTTTTCCGTGTGCAATACCTGGTAAAAAATACCTACAAGGCAAATGTAAACAAACAAATGAAAGCATTCAGACAGCCCCTCAGCAAGTTTTAACCAGCGTGTTGCCCTGCTCTCCTCTGATTCACATGATTAATGGTTGGTTGACACAGCCAAGGCAAGAACTGTAAAACAACTCAACTTTTTGACTTAATTCTGTCAAATGTGACAAATCCAAAGGTAAACATCATTTAATAAAACAGTAATGATTTGTGTAGTGACAGCACAAATGTTTGGGATGAGCTCAGGCTGCACAGGTGAGAGCTGTGAAGAAAATCTCTACCCCAAAAGTACATAAGACATCAAAAAACAACAAGCGTTTGACAGGCTGACAGAAGTGTATATGTATGTGGTATCACTGCAGGGAATTGTCAGGTATGTTTTCTGTACGAGCGTATCCCAGGGGAACAATTGCAGCTCTGTCTGGAGAGGCCATAGACACACAACACCGCACTGAAACAAACTCCACTATTGTTTATGACTTTGTGTTCCAAAAATGCCTGTGTCATCTTTGGCACTGTAAAGCTTAACTTATTGTGTGTAATTGAGTGTTTGCTCAATAAAAGCACTTGTCCTGACAGACACA